GCGTCACACACTTATCAACTATCACCAACAAAGGGAAAACATATTTGAGGTGCAGACACATATGCATCATGGCAGTGGTGGTAATAAGCACATTGTAAATGCATCACAAGGAAAATGTCAATGTGGTAAATGGCAATCATACCACATTCCGTGTTCTCATGCAATAAAGGGATTTGACCAAATTGGGTATCAAGCATGAGAGCATATGGCACCAGAATTTAGCGTGTGTAGCTACAAAAAACCTACTCTGGACAATTCAATCCACTCGGCGGTGAAAAATATTGGCCTGATAGTCCTTTTCTTATGATAGCAAATAAAAAATATTTACGAAAAGTGAGCATAAATAAAATCACCCGTATACATAATGAAATGGATGTTCCCGCAAGTACACTTACTCGCAAATGTTCAACGTGGTGGTTGGTTCCCCAACTAGGAATCGCAGGTATATGTTGGGGACGACCAAACTGACGTATCACTCTATCAGGTGCGTGCACCTCAACAATCTCTAGGCAAAACATAGGCACGCATGCCATCCACAAAGGCTCATTGATCGTACAACAATGAAGCGGTGTATGTAAAATCTCATTATACAGTGTCCATCGAAACTTTTTTTAAAAGATAACAATTAGATAAAATCAACGTTAACCGCTTAGTATATAAATAAAATTATTATTGATTTACTTTTAAATAATTTACTTTTATATGTAGATTATATATATATTTTTAAAAAAACTAGTAAAGAGTTACAAAAATTATTTGATGTACCTGATCCTTCGTCATGTGGTCTAGCTGATCTCTAATCGGGATAAGAACATGATGTGACTCAGTATCCCTATCAATTCCACGCGTCTATCGCCTAGCATATGGAAGTAATACATCACCATCATGCGGCAGAGGAGCTGATGGTTGTACATGCAAGATCCTCTCCCAACACCAAACCTTAATGTGACAAACAAAATAATTAAACTATCATTATTAACAAAAACAAATTAACAATTACATATATCTATTTTAAATAATTTTTAGAAATTATTTGTATCTAATTTAAATATTTTAAAAAATTGAATATAGAAAAAATATTCTTGTACAGTATAATGTTAAAAGATTCTTTGTATTTGAATGTATTTTAAAACTTTAGTAAAGTTACCTGAAAGAGAGGAATAAATCCGCAAATGTCAACCACATTACCGATAGATGCCCGACAAAGTGCACGGTACAAGTAGGCCAACACTGCACTGCCCCAACTATACTTACCTACGTCGTGGATGGGATCTAGGAACGCCAAGTATTGTAAGCTAATAAGGTTCCCCGACGTGTTCGGAAATAAGATGCCCCCCAATATAACAAGCATGTAAAGTCTACAAATTTTCTCAACCCGCTCCACTGGAGTAGCATCTCCTATCGGATCTACTTGTAACTAATCTCGCAAGTAGCCGGTAATGTTATGTATCCTCACCCGGCTCGCACCATCCATATCAGCAGGTGCTATGGCGCATTCTGTGAGTGTCTCTAATAAAGTACGCCATGGACGAATCCTCCGTGTAGCATCCTGCATGTACACATCATCACCATCGATGCGCAAACCAAACAAGACCTGCACATCCTGTAATGTAATCGTGACCTCACCAAAACGTAAGTGGAAGCAATGAGTCTCTAGCCTCCAACGTTCAACCATAGTTGTAACAAGGGCACGGTCATACTGCATCCTGCCCACACAAACTACATCATACAGTCCTGACCTACGTAAGATCTCCTCAACACGTCCATGAGGTCGATGCAAACGAAATAAATTTCAGGCATCATTCATGCGCACCGTCCTCATAAGGCTAGTAAATGATATCTCACCTTTCCATAACAATTCTGATTTATGCTCATGCTGAGAGAGAAGAAGTGTACGATCAATCGGTCCAGGATTCACAACACGCTCCATTATATTTTGTAAGAAAAATTCTATTAATTTTGCAATTAGAGATTGTATATGGTGGTTACAGACTAACATCTTACTCAAACGAAGTGATAAGCCAATTACTTGCTAATACAAGACAAATGATATTGCCATCGTATTAGATGAAAACAGATTCTGCAGAACATAAGATCCATGAAAATTACACTATTGATACCATCTTGCAGCTTGTGTTTTATTTACATATCCACTATCTCATAGACAGATTACTTACATTAGATTTCAAGTTATAAGTTCTTATTTCTGCTCTACTCGTACTCCAAACATGTATCACTTGTAAAATAGCATAACATTGTACTGCTGCTTACATCCTCATTGATTTTTTATTTTGATGTATCTCAATTTGACTAATTGTTCAGACTCTCGGTACTCTGAGAAGTTGTATAACTATTATACCATTGAAAAGGTTCTCTGACTTTTGAATTATTATTTCTGCTTACAACAAATTGGTTTATCTAATAAGATGACACTCAATAATTTTACTTTTCATTTGCCATTCTTCAACAGGCTTGGTATCTTTGTGATACAGAAGCCGAGAGGGTGTTCTAGCCCCTTCAAGCGGCAGAAGTAAAGTTCGTTCTAATGTCAAATTTTGACATCCTATTGAGACCAATATTAAGGACTCTAAACTGTGATCACTGATTTGATGTCAAAAATTTCTAATCCTGGCTCCGCCTTTTATTTGTTCATTTTTTATAGTAATTATACATAAGTAGTTCAATCGATGGTCAAGTGGTTCATCTATAACAAGTTAGATTTTTATTTTTATTTTTAAAAATAGATTTGGTGTTTTATGTCTTTAAAAAGTATTATATCAGTGCAATGCTTATAGCAGCTTTGCGTTTCACCTATGCTCTCCTATATATCACACAAATGGTGTTGCGATTACGTTGTTTCCCTTGTTACCTGATAGTTAGTGGTATCATGACAATTGCATTTGCTAGAATCTAAATCATGTAATCCTAAGAGAATCTTAATGTGTTTTTCGTCTTTCCTTTCGCTTCCATTTCGTACTTTCTGATTCAATAGCTGATATTATTTTTGGCTTTTCACAGGTTAGATACGTGTCGTAGTTTTAGCTGACCGAGCATATGAACTTAGATAACAGGTTATGGAGAACTCGAATTAGGTTAAAAGGTTAGTTACGTAGTTTAGTGTTATTTCAACTACTTTGTAATTTCTTCTTTTTTGATTCTGTCATTATTTGACATTTGTTGTACTTTGATTATTGTTTTATTTTGTCGTAGTTATTGTTACATTTTAAGAAGATAAGAGTTCTCACATGCTTTTTCTTTTTTCCCCAACTACTTTTTCTCCGGACCTCACTTGTGGGATTATATTGATTATGTTATTGTAGTAGTAGCAGTGATCTATTTGGGCATTCTTCCCAAGGATTATATTCCTACTATGCTTGACAATTTCAATGCTAATGTGGATATGGATGGAAGAATTGTCAATTTGGGATTATGAGACACTGCATATACTTTTTCTTTAAATAGATTTATTGCTCTTATGAGATATTTCAAAGTTAAAATCCGCATGAAAATGGTAGCTTTTATAATAAGTGCAAGCCATAATCCTGATAATCCTAAATATGATTGAGGTGTCAAGCTCTCTTTTCCTTTTCATTAAACACGAAGGGCTATTATCTACACAAAGAGATACACAGAAAGAGACACACAAAGATGGCATACGTGACATTTGCCTACTGGATCCTCTTATTCGTACACATTTTCTTTATATTTCATCTTTGCTCCTTCACATACATTTTATGTATCTATAACCACTACGTCAACTATTACTGTTGGGCCCGTGCTGGCACGGGCGCCACCTATCTAGTTAGCTTAAAAAATATCCAAGCAAAAGAGAGTTGTTTGCTATGAAGTTACCTAGGGAATAATCCTAGCTATTATTTGCTTGAATATGTTTCTTAGAAAAAATATTCTAGCTAAATTAGCTAGGCTAACAACGTTTTTCCTAGCAAAATTTTAGCTAAGAGTGTATTAGCTACAAAAGGTTGCTACGGTCATTTTCCTAGCAAAAATGATGTTAGCTAATTTTGTAAGTTAGCTAGGGATTTAGTCTCTCGCTAATGACATGTTCTCTTGTTTGCAATACCAATCCAACAATGTAATTCATTTTGTTTATTTCGAATTAAAGACTTTTTTCTAACTCAATAATTAGAAATTGAATGCATACTGTATAAGGCATCATTTTAAAGTAATGAAAGTATGAGATGAAAAAAAATACCTAATTTATATAATTTGTAGGGTCGGATTGTGCTACTCCAATCTTTCAAGATTTTGATTTTTTAGTGTAGGGCTGCTTCAATTGTCGGATTGGGACCATCAACTGTTATGTTAATCTTCAAAGTGAAGTTTGGAAGCCATGAAAGTGAAAGGGGAGAAGAAGAAAGTGAAAAGGTAAAGTAACTTTTTATAAAGTGGAAGAAAAAGTTCCACTTTACAAAGTGTAAGAAAAACTTACACTTTATAAAGTGTAAGAAACAGTTCCATTTTATAAAGTGTAGGAAATAGTTCCGTTATATATTAAAACATACACGTTATGAGACTAACGGAAAACGTTTACAATATCAGATAAAGTGGAATGTTTTCTTCCACTAAGCCTATTTTAGTTACTTACAAAAGTAGTGGCTTATTTTGGTCACTTTTATGTTTTTGTGGCTTATTTTGGTTCCGAACTCCTAAGAATGGGGCTTAGTAGTTCAAGGTGAATTACGATTTGAATCAAGTCTCCCTAACCCCCAAAGATGGAACTAACTAAGAGGTGAACTTAATTGCGGATAGTTCAAAATAATAAAAAAAAATGACGTGAATAATGGTTTTAATAGGTTATTCTAATTAGTCGAATAAGTAAATATAAAAATAAAATAAAATTATAAACTTAATTTTACTAAACAGACCAACAAAAATCCTAATTTTTTAAATCACAACATTATATATTGATGCAATAGATCCTAATGGTCCGACCGTGTCCGAGCTCGAATTAACACCATTTGGCCTTTTTAGTCCTTTGTCCAACACATTTAGTAGAAAGAAGTAGTTTCAAAATCAATTTTCCCCCTTTTCCAATTTGTATAAGGTTTACTGTTTCTACAAATTCCCTACCAAAATCCATATATACATCGAAAATTAACAATGGAGAATGGTGATGGAACAAATGGGAAAAGGATAAGGGCTGAAGATGTGATATGTGAGCTCAAGGACGATGGCGATTTCGATAAATTTCGCCTCAAAATTGTCAGTATTTGCTCATTCTTCTTTGGTTTTGTTGTTTAGGGTACTGTTAAGAGTATTTTTTATCTTTGGTTTCTGTATTGTTTTATCTGTTTTTACATCAATTTACGCTAAATCCTGAGTTGGGTTTTGTTCTTTTTACTCTATCAAAATTGTGTGTGATTGGTATTGGAAATTCGGCATAATTATTGGATTTAAGTTATATATATACTGGGAGTGATGTTAGAGTACAAGGTTAATAGGTAGTAGAGTGTTGTTTTTGTAGTGGGTTATTATTATTATTATAATTACTCCGATGTATGTGTATCTTATTCCTGGATTTTATTATTACTTCTTGTTCTCTTGGTTTCAGTTATTGTAGTGCTAGTTGTTGATAAAGCTCTTCCATTTTTTTTTTGAAATGGCTTATTTGCTGTTGCTTTGGTATGTTTGATATGCTTTAGTTGAGCTGAGGGTCTTTCGGAAACAACCTCTCTACCTTCACATGGTAGGGCTAAGGTCTGCATACACATCACCCTCCTAGACTCCATTTGTGAGATTACAATGGGTATGTTGTTGTTGTTGTACTCTGGGTGTGCAGCGAGGCGTGTAGTTTTTGTGGGCTGGGGGCCTTCTATAGAGAAAAAAAGATGAGGCAAGGGGTGTAGTTTTTCTAGGACGGGTGCTTTCTATCGAGGAAAAAGGGTATGTATAGGTAGGCTCGAGCTAGATATTACTTTCCAGCAGAATGGGAAGACTGTGATACGTGGCATGTAGTTTCTCTGGTGTGGGTGCAGTATACAGAAAAAAAAGGGGGTGCAAAGATAGGCTTAAGCTAAGATTCCACTTGCGAGCATAGTGGGCAGACTGTGGTATAAGGCATGTAGTTTTGCCTCCTATAGAGAAAAAAAGAGGTGTGGGCAGACTGTGATATGACTTATGAGGCATGCATTTCTGGGGCAGGTGCCTCCTGTTTAGGGGAAAAGAGGTGCAGGGGTAGGCTTGAGCTAAGATTCGACTTGTGAACATAGTGGGCAGACTGTGATACTGACTAATGGAACAAAGATCAGGGTGATCCAGTAGTTGATGGATACACATGTACTTTAAAGAGTTGTTGCATTATCAATTCAACCTAATTCTTATTAACTGGCTGCACCAGGTCGCTAACCCTCCTTGCAGGGTACAAATCTACGCTTATACTAGATTGCTATTTGTCGTTTGTTTTTAAATAGCTTGATAATCATATTGTCAGTGTAAAAAATTAAACCTTTAGACCATAATTGTGTAGCACACATCCTACATATGTGGTTTTGCTTGTTTCAGCTAACATTTGGAGACTTAACATTATTAAAAAACAAAATTCTGCTTCTCCTTAATTTGAAATCATATAAGTACAAGCAAGGGGAACTAAGGACTTTACAGGATGCAAAAGGGACTTACTGGCAGGATTCTAGTGGCATGTTAAACTTGAACAGGCCTTTACTTGAAAGCTTGAGTTCTGTTGCATCTACTATAAAATTATGTTAAACAGAACTAATTGTACAAAAGGTCAATCAGCAAGCATTCCATAACTGAGGTTCTGACGTCTTCTCTTTTGCCAAAAGAATACCTTGATTATTAATCTACTGGGTTGCTAGTTAAGCTAGACCAATAGAAGCTTACCGCTCAGCTTGTATTAGGGCTGGGTTTTTTTTTTTGATAAAAGTAAAAGTTGGTCTATATTTATCCACAGGTATACTACCTCAAAAGTGTAGTTCCCCTCCAAAAGTGTTGTAGTTACATAGGATCCTATACCTACCAAGTTACATAGTATGAGTTGGTTCAAAGTAATTTCAGATTGATTTTGACTGAAGGTACACTTCGTGCAAGTTCAGGGTGAATTTGCTTAGAGTAAGAATCTTTTAGTTGTTCTTTTCCGTCCCTACAAAAAGTTCTGGTAACAGCTGTTTATAGTTGTAGTTCTGTCTCGGCTCTGTCTACCCCTGTGCGGTCTGGACTTCACTTTTTCGATATTCAGGTATGAGTAATTCAACTTTGCTCGGCATATTCACTTTTTTGTTACATATAATTATCTTTTAAGTGAATTGATAGAATAAATTCTCTTTGATTATGTAAATTTGCTCGGCATATTCTGTTGATTATCAGTTTGTTCAGCTCTTTGTTGTGTCATTTCCACTAGCAACTAGTTTTAGGTTCTAATTTAGGTATCATGCCAAGTATATATGAAACAATTAAATATTAGTTTTACCATCAATAAAAGAAAAAAAAATTAATTGATCGTGATTCTTCATAAATTTTATAAGTTCAACTTTTTTGCTAAGCTTTCTTAGCAACCAATTGCACATAGTTTCTTTTTTTTGTTATAAAAAATACTTGCATGCATAAGAAAGAGTTGTTTGTTCTTATTGGTATGATCAATCTTGTCTCCACACGTAAGTTTCTTTGTTGTTAGAGGCTAAATAGTTCATATCTAATACTATATTATCTTACACATGTTCCTTACATGTTATTACAATCTTCTTTTTAAGGAAATGTCCCAAAAGCTACGTACATTTTCTAAAGACTTGTAACTAAGCTCCTTTTTATTTAGTTTGAAGAGCTTTAAAAGTGAATTTTCTTTCTTCAGTTGTCGAAAGTCTCTTAAGCAATCTAAGGATATTAATTCTATCACATCGGAGTCCAACGCAAAATTCTTGCTTCTACCTTCTCATTTAACTTGTTGCTTTGAAGACAAAAAATAAGAAGGATTTGTAGTAATAAAAATAGAAATAATGAAACATAGAAGAAGAAACGGAAGGAAGACGACGATGATGATTATAAGAGAAGGGAGGGAATAAACAAAATTGAAATCTGAATATGAAAAGCGAGTATGTACATTTCATTTTTTAAATATTTAATATTACCCCAAAATAATTATATTAATCAGGCTCGTCTTTACTTAATCCTGATTAAAACCGATCAAGGTCAATTTCTTTTTGTTATTAAGACTTGATAGATCCCTTTAACTTTATGAATAATTAGTAGTACAATATGTCTTTTTATAAATTAAGATTTTAATTTTTGTGGATTAAATAAATATTGTGCAAATAATGTTCTGTCACTATCTTTTTTATCTAAATTATTTTATTTATTAACCAAAAAAAGAAGGTGAGTATTTTTCTTATTATTATTGGTACTATTTTTTTTATTATTATTGGTATCATTATTTTAACCATATTATATTTCCTTATTTCCCTCTAAATGAAACAAAAACAAATATAAAGTATAATTATTTGGGCCAAATTGAGTCTCAGAGACAGACAAATTAGGGCACAACTTTATCTCCATTTGAAAAACTACTTTTCTACCGTGTTCTCTCTCCCTCTCGTAATCTCGTTCCAACCGGAGTTTTCTCTGTAAATTTTAAGGTAAATTCTCCTTTCCATTTTCAGTTTTGCGGCATAGAGTTACTTCAATTATTACTGAAACCAAAGTTTACATGGAAAAAGAGATACTCTTTTTGGTCATTCAATTTCTTACTCGTTCAGAATGAATGTTGAAGAGTGTAATTCTGTAGTTGTTTTGGATGTAAAGAAACAATTTTTTTTGTTGACAGAGTGTTTTATCATGTGGATGTGGGGTTTCCCCTTTTTTTTTGGGGGTCGAATTTTGTTGAATTCTGTGAGTATTTTATTATAATGTGGAAGTTGTAAATGATTCATTTTTAAGCAAAGAATTTGCAGATTGAATTGTTTTATTATGTGGGTTTCTGGGGAATGACCCGGAGGTTAGTTGGAGTTTTAATTGCATTGTGTGAGTATTTTGATTATTATGTTGAAGTTGTAAATAAGTTATTTATAATCATAGATTTGTAGACTGAATTGTTTTGTCATGTGGGTTTGAGAAGAGTTAGAGGTCGACTCGAGAAGTATTAGATCGAGAGAGGTGAATAGATAGGAGATGACATAGTTTTAGCGTGCTGAGGACATGATCTTAGATAGGAGGGTGTGGAGGACACGATTAGGGTATAAGGCTAGTAGGTAGAAGTGTGTTGTGTCCATTTGTATTAGTTGTAGTATTGCTCTTGTAGTTTCATGTCTTTCAATTTATGGTATTGTTTTGTTGTAGTTTCTGTTTTGTTACTATCTATTGTTTTTGTTATTAGTTGTTGTTTCTTGAACTTTCGTTTCTTCTTTTTGGGATTGCTTTGGACTGTTTTACCTTGTGCCGATGGTTTATTTGAAACAACCTCTCTACCTATGAGGTACGGGTAAGGTTTGTGTACCTTCTAACCTCCCCAAACCCCACTTTGTGGGACTACACTGTTTATATTGTTTTTGTTTGAGAGTTTTTTTCCTTTTTTTGATAGAGAAAGATGAATAGACTTTAGTTGTCTATTTTAGTTGAAGTCTCTCGAAATAGTGAGCATTATGTTAAAATGTCGAAGAATGTACTCTTAAGTATCACTCCGACACATTGTTGGATGTTTGAAGTGTTTAGCAGTTGCAATTAATCATGATTAAAATGGATTAATATCACCTTGCTTTAGTTATTTAAGACTTGAGAGATCCAATATTAAATCTCCTTACCTTAATGAATAATTAGTATTATGTCTTTTTAAATAAAGATTTTAATTTTGAAAAGTAGATTAGGTAAATCTTGTTCAAATAATGTCCTATTACTATCTTTATTATTTCAACCATTTTAATTTATTAACCAAAAAAAAAGGAGTATTGTTTTTTATTATTGGTATTATTATTTTTAACCATATTATATTTTCTTATTTCCCTCTAAATAAAATAAAAACAAATATAAAGTATAATTGTTTGGGCAAAATTAGGTCTTAGAGACAGAAAATTAAGGCACAGTTTTATATCCATCTGGAGAACTGCTCTGTTATTCCGCTCTCTCTCGTTCCAACCGGAGTTTTTTCTGTGATTTTTAAGGTAAATTCTCTCCATTTTCAGTTTCGCGGCATAAAATTACTTCTAAAAACGCTGAAACTAGAGTTTACATGGAAAAAATTGATCAACTCTTTGGCCATTCAGTTTCTTACTTGTTCGGGATGAATGTTGAAGAGCGTAATTCTGAAGTTGTTTTGGCTGTAAAGGAATTTTTTTTTTTGTTGATCGAGTGGTTTTTTCATGTGGGATTTCTTTCTTTTTTGAAATAATGAACTGTTGGTCGAATTTTGTTGAATTCTGTGAGCATTTTTTGTTATGATGTTGAAGTTGTAAATGAATCATTTGTAAGCAAAGAATTTGCAGATTGAATATTTTTATTATGTGGGTTTCTGGGTTTTTTTCTTTTTTCCTGAAAGAATGATGAATGAATCATTTTTGGTCATTCAGTATCTTACTTGTTAGGAATGAATGTTGAAGAGTGTAATTCGAAGTTGTTTTGGCTGTAAAGAAATAGTTATTTTTGTTGACTGAGTGGTTTTATCATGTGGGTTTCCTTTTTTTTTTTTCTTTAAGGAAAGATGAATGAACTGTTGTAAAAGTTGGTTGGATTTTATTGAATTCTGTGAGCATTTTATTATAATGTGGTAGTTGTAAATGAATCATTTTTAAGCAAAGAATTTACAGATTGGATTGTTTTATCATGTGGGTTTCTGGGGGGGTGAATGACCCGGAGGTCAGTTGGAGTTCTTATTGAATTCTGTGAGCATTTTATTATTATGTTGAAATTGTAAATGAATTATTTATAATATAGAATTTGTAGAGTGAATTGTTTAATCATGTGGGTTTGAGGAGAGGTAGAGGTAGATTGGATAAGTATTAGAGAGAGAGAGGTGATTAGATGGGAGATGACGTAGTTTTAGCTTTCTGAGGACATGAACTTAGATAGGAGGGTGTGGAGGACGCAGTTAGGGTAGAAGGGTAGTAGGTACTAGGTAGAAGTGTGTGCTGTCCGTTCGTATTAGTAGTTGTAGTATTGCTCTTGTAGTTTCAACTATCTTTTGTTTCTTATACTTCTATTATGGTATTGTTGTTTTGTTGTGTCTGTTTTGTTACTATCATTGTTTTTGTTATTATTTGTTGTTTGTTGCACTTCCGTTACTTCTTTTTGGGAGTGCTTTGGACTGTTTTCCTTGAGCCGAAGGTTTATTTGAAACAACCTCTCTACCTATGAAGTAGGGATAAGGGTTTGTGTACCCTCTACCCTCCCCAAACCCCACTTTGTGGGACTACACTGGTTATATTGTTGTTGTTTGAGGGTTTTTTGCTTCTTTTTTTATAGAGAAAGATCAATAGACTTTAGCTTTCTATATTAGTTGAAGTCTCTCGAAATAGTGAGCGTTATGTTAAAATGTTGAAGAATGTACTCTAAGTATCACTCTGAGACACTGTTGGATGTTTAAGAGTTTAGCAGTGCAATTAGCAAATAGCAAGATTGAAAGGAGCAGAGATATTAGAAATGAAAAGGGAAACTGAAGAAGAAGGGAAAATTTCAAATTAAAAGGAGAAAAGTTGTTCATGAAAGAGAGACTTTACCCTTACACTTCTGCAATGAATCAAGAGGTGTGTAAAACTCAAACTGCTAAACCAAATGATGACGGTGCTAGTGAAAGACAATGGATAAAAGTAGACTAAAGTTTAAATCTAAAACTTTAATTTAAAAGCTGAATGAATCTGAAGTTCAGTCTGTAAGTCATGAACAACTCCGGTGCCACACGTAGTAAGAATTTGGTCATTCCTTACACAAGCAAAGGGTTTGGATTTTGGATGGGGGTAGACTCTTTTATATCTTTAGAAATCTCAATATTTACTATGAGAGAATGCATAATTAGGAGGATAAGTGTAGAATGCTGGTCCTCAAATTGTGTTAAATGACCTTTGTCTTGTAAGTAGGTTTCTACCTTTCTTACATATGCAATAGGATTCATCTTGGAATGACTACTTGATATGGACAGAGAAAACCTAAAACAAAGTACTAAAAACTTTTTTCTGCAATTTTCTCTTTGTTTTAGTTGCACGGATGAGTTCTGTAGATTTTTCAGTTTCCTGCTCTTTGGAATGCCATGTTCCCAGTTGCCACAATAGCATCCATATGATAATCAAACTCTATTTCTTTGAAGGTTGATGATCTGTATTAGTTTTGGATTTGATTTGTGATTAATTGTTTATTGGAAACAACCTCTCTACCCCACAAAGATAGGGTACCCCAGATCCCACTTGTGGGATTACATTGGGTATATTGTTGTGGCATTTATAAATGATTTCATCTGAGAATTTTCTTCTAGTGTTCCATATTTCTAGCTTTTCAAGGAGTTCTGTGCTTCCCTATATACTAAATGATGATCCAGTATGACAGAGAGCCAAGCCTGCTCCTTGCAGTCTCGTAATTTGTTGTTATCGTGTTTAGAACACGTATGTTCTATTCTCCTCAACCTAACATATACAGCCTGATTGGTCGACCTAATATACAACCTAATATGATTATTTACTGTAGTGAGGTTTTAATTTCAGAATCCTCATTTTACCTTCTTATATATATTATTTTATCTTCTTTGAGGTTTTGTACTCTTAAACCTAATTTTACTGTCATTCTGTTACCTTTTTTACGGCAGGAGGTTGTAAGCAGATATGCCGTCAGATACTGCAAGAGAAAATGCATCTATAGCTAATTCCATAGTGACTGACTGCAAAAATGAAAGAAGGAATTTTGATGGACCAGGTAACCCTGATACGAAATCTATTCATAATTCAGTTATCTATGTGGGTTTTGTTTTGTTTTGTATTTTTTTTTTTTTTTGAGTAGTTGCTTCTGTTGAGATTTGTTACAAGGTTTCCTTGAATGTGTCTGCATGACAAAGACAAGGATGTGGTCATTTACACTGGCCCACAATTTAATATTGGTGCAAAAGTTGTATGCTTCAAGTATCTTTTGGTTGGCTTTTCTATTCAACTGATCAGCAATAAGTATTCTTTAACGTGTTAGGGATGGCCAAACAATTACAGTCTTTTCTACTTTGACTGGAGCTTCACTTGAGAAATAGAAAGAGCATGCTGAATTTGATAGAAAGGAGGTCCACTAGTTAGTAATTAGTGATGGCATGAAGAGCTCTAGTTACTTGCATGGTTTCTTGAGGCTGTAAGCTGGCTTGATATTATTAGGTCTTTCCACTAAACCACGCAAAACTGATACTAAGAGCCTGTTTGATTGGGCTTATAGCTTTTGATTTATAAGCCAAAATCCATAAGTTAGGAATTCTAACTTATGGCTTTTGGCTTTTTTTTGCCTATTTGGCTTAAAAAACTTAAAAACACTTTTTTATTTTACCCAAACACTACAAAAGTGTTTTATAACACTTGAAATAAGCCAATCCAAACAGGCTCTAAATCTTTTCATAATTCAATTCTGCGTGTTGTTCATTTGTATGAACAGTAATGGCAGTCTTCGAGATTGTGTAGAAGTTTCACACCCTCCATGAATTTGTACGCATAAAATGCAGAGATGGTTTAGATGCACAACTTTTATTCCTGTCCAATGAATGTGACACTTCAAGTATCTTTTGGTTGGAAATGCTATGAAGTTCATGGAGCAATAACACTGCATAACTTCATCATTTCAACACAATTTGTTGGAGAAACAAAGGGTAAATTGAACGATAAATGTTACTTATTGATGAGAATAAACGCTATGGTTTTTTCCTTTTCTTTTTGTGTTAAAACTCTGTTGTCAGCATCCTTTTCTGACATTCCATCAAGATTTTTGCCCTGGTCTCTAATTAGTGTAATAGTTCTTTATTCCACATAATGTCCCTCTTGAGATGCCTTAACTTATTCATAAGGACATAATCTGGACTTCCAGTTACTTGATAAGGTTGCCCCCATTAATAAAATTACCTTACTTTATAAATAAATTAGTGACGATACAAGGAGCTTCAGTTACTCGCATAGTTTATTGAGTATGAACAATCTGGCGTGGCCCTTGTAAAAAAAAAAGTATAATCTGGCTTGGAATTAATTTGTTTACAATGTTATAAAAAAGAAATGCGATTGTTGAGAAAGTTGAACCTACAAATTTATGGAGTACTTTACTTCTTAAGAATTGGAATCCAATTTCATGGCTTCATAATGAACCTGTGGTGTACATAAAGTTTGGAATCTTTTGATAAAACTTTCAACCTGTTGTCATATTGGATTTTAATATTGCGAATCCTCGTAGATATCGTGTAGCATCCTTGATGATCAGTTTTCAGGAGCCAACTCCGTTTTGTCTAATTTCTGGTTAAATTCAACATCTCCTGACTGTAACCTTTATGAAGTTTCACGCTACCTGATTACAGAAATAAAAAATAAAAAGAAGACATCTTGTAGCTTCGTTGTCCTTGACATGAAAGTAGTGGTTAAATGATAAGTATATGGATTACTATATACTGGTACATCTACATGATTCAAATTTAAATATGAACTCTTTTCTCAGATAGTTCAAGGCTCGGAGTAAATGAGGATACCAATCGTTCTATAGCAGAGGAGCTCACAGTTTCATCTCCGCTGTTTGGAATTTCTAGTGCAATTGAAAACGGTAAAACTTTCAACCTGTTGTCTTATTGGATTTTAGTATTGTTTGACAAGTAGCTTGGGAATGACAATACGTAATCCACTCCCTCTCTCTCTCTCTCACACACACACACTCTCTCTTCTCTCTCTCTCCACTTTGGGAATAACAGGCTTATTGTGTTCTCAAAAAGTTCACTTATTTTATCTCAACTTTAGGGAATGACTCCATGAAGTTCTTTCAGTTTCCACTCCTTTTGGTGCATTCTATGTCATTATAGTAACTAGGAAGTGCTACATGAGTGTATATGTGTTAATTATAATACATTACCTCGTGAATTGATTGTCCTCTGTGTTCTTATTCATGAAAAATACTGCAATCCAACTTCTTGCCAAATTTTGCTTATTGAATCTTTTTTTTTTTTTTGAAACTGGTAAGGTTGAATTCTTCAGCATCTTAATGCTATGCTGGCTACCTCCAAAAAGGGTTAATTACAGATTTTCTATCAATTCTATAATCTGGTCTATATCATCTATACAAAGCTGTTTACACCAAAAAAGTAGAGATACTATACAATTCCATTTAACTTTGTGGACGGAATTGGATCGATCTTCAAAACATCTTCCATTTCTTTCTTTCCAGACTGACCACCATACACATGATGGTATTAGCTTCCACCATCTCTTTTGACTCTTACTGCCTCCCTTCCTAATCCAGCAGCTCAACAGATCTGATGTATGTTCTGGCATTGTCCAGTTCATGCTTGTGATGTTGAGAAACAAGTTCCAAATTTGAACAGTAAACTTACAATGCAGGAAGAGATGGTTATTTGTTTCCCCCGTCAAGTTGCACAAAAAACACCTAGGGACCAGTTGTCTGCCTTTCTTTTGTAGAACTTCTTCTGTTAAACATGCTCTCTTTATTACTAACCATGTGAAACACTTTACTTTTGTAGGAATGTCACTCTTCCAAAAGTAGTTCCAATTATATTTTGGGGCCCCTGTCATCCCCAGTGGTCCTCTTTTGTAGGCATTGTTGACTGAGAAGACTCCATCCTTACTATGTTTCCACAGGATCTTCTCTGTTGTTGTTGTAGTTATAATCATTCCAGCTAGTTTTTCCAGTAGCGCTGCCACCCTCTCCACCTCCCAGTCATTAAGTAGTCTTCTTAAAGATATGTCCCATCCCTGTTCTGTCCAACAATCACTCACTCTAGCATCAGGGTTCTCACAGATTTGTTTGGAAAAAGTTCTCTAAGAGAGGTTTGGTCTATCCAGCCATCTTTCCAAAATTTAGTTTTGTTTCCATTACCCACCTTAATATACATATTTCCTTCCATTTGTGACCATAGGTTCCTGATTGTCCTCCATACCCCCACCCCATATGGTTCAGAGGTGGTTTTTGTACACCAGGGATTTAGTTCTCCATATTTTGCTACTATAACCTCCTTCCAGAGAGCTGCATTAGTACACCAGGGGTAATTTTTTTTTTTTTTTTTTTTTTGAAATAGTTAACTTTGTATTATATATCACAAAACAGTAGATGGGTTGTACTGAAACCATTATATACAAATGTCTCTTTTTCCACTTGTTTCAGTCTATATTGAGCCTAAGACATCAATTACCAATACAATGTCATTGGAGTATACCTGATTACACCAAAAACATAACAATAAAATGCAGTTTAGCTTGACTTTCTGGACATAACCATAAAATGCAGTTTAACTTGACTTTCGTAATTATTACGTAGTAAATTTGCAGAAATAGGCTTTAATCTCGTTCATTTTCTTCTAAAAAATGTTTTGAGTTGTTGGAACTTGATGATTGATTTCTATGCACAAACAGTTCGAGTTAATTCCTATGCTTGCTATATTGTTTTTGGTTGTGAATAATGCTTATTTGTCTTTACTGTAAGTTTGTTACTATTTTCTGGGCTGTTTTATATGCGAATCATCATAGATATCGTGTAGCATCCTTGATGATCAGTGTTCAGGAGCTAACTCCGTTTTGTCTAATTTCTTGTTAAATTCAACATCTCCTGACTGTAACCTTTATGAAGTTTCACGCTACCTGATCACAAAAATAAAAATTAAAAAGAAGATATCTTGTAGCTTCGTTATCCTTGACATGAATGTAGTGGTTAAATGATAAGTACATGAATTACTAAATACTGGTACATCAACATGATTCGAATTTAATTATGAACTCTTCTCTCAGATAGTTCATGCCTTGGAGTAAATGAGGATACCAATCGTTCTATAGCAGAGGAGCTCACAGTTTCATCTCCGCCAATTGGAATTTCAAGTGTAATTGAAAAGGGTAAACTCTATAGCATAAGATATTTTGTAATCAAGAGTTTGAACCATGAAAATATCCAATTATCAGTAAACAGAGGGATTTGGGCTACTCAAGCCATGAATGAGGCCATTTTGGATGAAGCTTTTCATGTAAGTCATTTTTCCTTTTTTATCCCCATGAGTATAATAATATAATGACCATCTGTAATATATATATATATATATATATATATATATATATATATATATATATCTTAACCCTTCGGGGTGGCCTAGTGGTTTGGGCTTGGGACTTCCATGTTGGAGGTTTCAAGTTCGAAAGCCCTTGCCAGCGAAAGCAAGGGGTTTGCCTTCTGGGTCGAGCTCGTCGCACCAGGCTTGCCTAGTGCGGGTTACCTCTTCTATGTGGTTTGCAAGCTATTGCATAGGAGCGGGGGTTTTACCCTGTGCGCACCCAAAGGGTAGCGGCTGCGGATTTCCCTTGTCATAAAAAAAATAAAAATAAAAATAAAAATAAAAAATATATATATATATCTTACAATACAACAAATGTTTGTGTTTATTTTGTGGGCAGAATTCCAGCAAGGTTATACTGATATTCAATGTCAACATGAGTAAGTATTTCCAAGGGTACGCCCAAATGATTTCTTCTGTTGGTTTGAGAAGAGACCAAGTTTGGAGTCAAGGAAATGGTGGTCGTAATCCTTGGGGTCGAAGCTTTAAAGTGAATTGGCTGCGATTGTATGATCTGCCTTTCCAAAGAACTCTTCACCTTCAGAATCCATGGAATCAATACAAATCAGTCAAAATTAGTAGAGATTGTCAGGCATGGGTTATATTCTTGTTTTAGTACTATTCACTTATTTTTTCAATGTACTCTTGTTAGTAAAGAGGCTTTTATGACCCTGGTACATGTATTGCTGTCAGGAGTTACCTCCAGATATTGGTGAAGCTTTATGTGAGCTCCTTGATGGACAGGATGCTTTGGATGTTGATTTGAAAATGTATAGCCTTTTCCTTGAAAACTTAAATAGTGTGTTCCTGTTCCATTATTTGGAAACATACAGCCTTTTCTCAAAATTGAATTAGTGCTAGAGTTGTGGAATAAATGGTCCAAATGATTTTTCTCTTTATAATTGTTATTGGCTCATCCAGGGATATCTTTGCAAGGAATGATCTCTCTTTTAAAAGGCCATATGTAGAGCCTTCACTGCATCTTGGAGATCAAGACTGTAATGCATCTCTGATACCTAATGGGACCATGTTTTATCCCTCTTTACTCTACCAACATCAAATTGATGCTAGTAGACTTCACGTAGCACCTCAGAGAATAAATGGTGTATTTTCTGCTGAGGAGTCAGCCATTGCATCAGGGGAATCAAAGTCGAGACAGTCGAGGCATTCACAGAGGAATAGAAGCCTTGCTAATATTCATGTAGACACTGACATGGGTCCTCAAATTAACATGTGGGGATTGCCGGCAGAAAGGAGCCCATTTGCTAGTAATTTGACTGAAGATGACATTCTTGAAATGGTTTGTGTTTCCTGTCTTACCATTATTTATTTAGAAGTTCTCGTCTTACCCTTAATTTTTAATTATTGATGCACATAGGTTAAAACGATTGTTCTTGTATTTCTCAAGAAGATGAAATACTCTTTTGTACTCTCTGACTCTCAAAGTTTGCTGATGATTTCAATTTTCAGCCAAGAAAGCTTATTTCTCTTGTTTCTGACTATTTGATAGCTAGCATCCTCCTTTTCTTTGAATGCATATGAATCTGTACTTTGTGTGCATTTTATACAAAAATGGTTATCTACTATTGAAGGCATATGCCAGAAATTGCCCAATTCAGTAATTTTTAACTTACAAGGGCCTCCACCAAATTTCTTGATATTGGACCATATGTCATCTGATTCTTTCTGTAGTTAGACTTTCAAATCTTCTATTTATATGATAAGTCTCACAAGTGTGGACTTACAATTCCTTAAACAAATGCACATCTGTTGAACCTTGATACTATTAACTGTATTAGTTTATTATCATTAAGTATCAAGGTGTTTGTTTAAATCAAACTTCGTAGCAAAATGGTTTATAAGATTTTAGGTTAATTCCCAACTTTACATGAATCCTGGTTGTCTTAGAAGTCAATGTAAGTCCTTTTTCATTGAGTAATAATTCCTGCAGGTATTGAGAACAGACTGGGAACTTGTATATGTATATATACACCCATATAGTTTTCAATTGTAGAGTGGAAAGTTATCAGGTTATTCACATCCAAGGGTGTGTGACCTAGTGGTCAATGAAGTGGGTGAGAACTATGATGTCTCAAGTTCAAAACCCAACAGTGGCAAAAACTAGGTGATTTCTACCTCAACAGAGTTACCCGGTACCTATGCCGCCGGTGGAGTCCGCAGGTACCTAGTGGGATTAGTCAAGGTGCACACAAGCTGGCCGGACACCACCAGTTATAAGAAGTTATTAGGTTATTCCTATTTTATTGGTGAAGTTTTTCTTCTTCTTTGGTGCTTTATGCACCTTGACAAAGGGGCTAGTCCAAGGAAATGCTAGGTGGAATTCGTAGACATTCTTCTTCTTTACATTTGCCCCCTATCCCCCACTAAGTAACACACACACCAGCAACTTCTCTCTCTCCCCACCTCTCTTGCATGACTGCTACAATTTAAGGCCTTCTGACTCATATTGTCTCTTAGACTGCTGCATTATTGATAGTTTCAAGACACTATAGTTCTTATGTTTTTAATACATCATATTTATTCACCTGGTTCCTAGCTATGAACTTAGCAGGTTGCATATTCTCTGTCCTTACCGAATTTAGTTTGAAGAATGTTTTTTAACAAGTGTAATACTTCATGAACCACATGTTGTAGCTGTTAGATCCACCATCAAATCATGTTTGCCATAATTAACATATTACTGTAAACTTGTTGTTCATACTCCTTTCTCTTGTTGCAGACATATGAAGAGTATCTTGAAGCTTATAGCAGAGGCAGCAAAAGATTGCCCCACCCTGTTAGTACTCTTTGACATTTTTCTTTTTATATATTCCTGTATTATCGAATAAACTCATGAGCCATGCTCTGTTGGGTTGGATTTTTAACTGTAAAAAGTTCACCTTTATCTTTTTAGTTAATCTCTGTTCTGGAAAATCTATTCTAATTTCCTTTCTTTTCGGAGAAAAGCTTGTAGCATTTAGCATTTCCTCATTGTGCTATAAGCAAGAGATGGTTAGCTTAATTGAGGAACTTGTGTCTTAAGTCACAAGTTTGAACTAAGTCTAGTATTTAAGTGGAGAAGGATGGAGGGGTGGGTCCATCATCTCCGGGTTTTGAAAGTCACGGATGCCCAAACCGTTGGCTCCAGATGAACTTCTTGTTCATAAAAAACTTGGGGCGACTCCCATCCCTCTTTTTTCTTCATGCTATCTAGTGGTTGATGATCTGAATGTGGTTGGTTCTCTGGGTGAAGTATTGTGATAAATTCATGTGCTATTGTTAGGGTCCTCGAAATTTCAGTCTCTGTTCTGCTCTTTAGCATGAGATTTGAGTCTTGCGTATCTATCATTTCACCACCCAGGCATCTTGAAAGTTAATCATATTCCTTTAATACGATATCTATCTAGTTTTGTAGATGGCATTTCCTTTTCTTTTCTCTAGCATGATAAAGTGGTTTATGAATGTATTTTAACTCAGTTTTTGAAAGTGCCCTTGTTCGATATATGTATCTGCGGAATATTTCTTAGTGTGGATATCCATGACTTGCACACAGATTTTTAAAGAAGAATCTTTTGCTAGAAAGGATTCTGAACAAAACATCAGGTTTCCATTGTGCAATAATTTACCTCTCTTTATCTAGGTTTCAGGACCATCACAGAGTACACAGAGGTCATTAGCCAGTGGAGACAACTGTGATGATTCGTAAGTCTTCTTACTTCTCATTTCCAACACACTTGGGATGCAACGAACCAGCTGAGTGACCTATATCTATTATCTTTGCAGGCAATCAGGTTGCAGTTCGAAGAAAAGGAGAAGTCACTAAATCTCCCCATTGGTTGCATTGGTTTTCTTGGCGAGCGGCTGATATGGTTGATAATTGTATTGTTGCAGTTGTTGCGAAGTGGTGGCTCTTGCGAAATTGTTCCTTTATTTTTGTAAAACTTAAAACTTAGGAGCATATATTGCTATAATGTTGTAGTATATCTGTACTGTATTATATGACCCTCTTGTCACCCTTCTCCCCTTCCTGGTTTCGAATGGAAAATTTTATATACTGTCAATGGAAACTTGTACTGGAAATTAGCAAGTCTCTCTATACTCATATATTCATTCTTGATAAAGTCCAGTACTGTATAGAAATGGATAATATCTTCTTGATTGTTGGGATGGAGAGGAATTATTCTTCTTTTTTCTTTTCCCTACGAGGCTACTTGTTATTCTTCAAGATCATTTTAATGGTCTATCAAGTATGTATATTCGGGTTCGAGTCCTAGGTATTAAAAAATCCTTGGTAGGGAGGGCTTTCCCTTCGGAATGGGGCCCTATGCACTGAGTATCCGGAATAGTTGTGATTTAATTCGGGTATCGAACGCTGGATGGGAAATAAAAATAAAGTGTGTATATTTGGAGAAATAGTCTTTGGGGTTGTGATCCGCCTTAAAGACATCGTGATGGATATCAAAATAGTGTTAGATTGTTTGTATTTTATATAAATATACATTTGTTTGTGATGGAGCATGATTATTTTGAAAAGTTGTGTTATAATTAGTAAAACTCTTGAAGAAGTACTATAAAATAAATATTTAGATATAAACATCAGTTTTATTGTATTTTGAAGGAAATTTGTGGTATTTTTCCTAATTTGTATTCGAAAAATATCTCTTTAAAATTATCTTGAAAGGGATGATATGAAATACCTTATTGGGATAATCATACCTATATGTTTTTGAAAGTTGATTCTTTCATGCCTCAGAATCATTTCTTCTTTCATTACAATTTTTTTATTCTTTAACGCACAATGGGGTTTGGCGATCAATGAAGTTGGAATGACAAAGATGCAAAATCATTATATACTTAACTTTTAATATAAGTAAAAAAGTTCAAGTGTTTTTTTGTTTGTTCGAATCTTTGTTACAGCGGACTAAGAAAATACTTGTACTGATGAGTAGATTAGGTATCCAGTAAGAATGAAGTTCATTTGAATCTAGATTGTCCAAAGACAGAACTTATCTTGAGTCGAGTCTCTAAGTCCCTCACCCCACCCTACCACTAAAAAAATGAAACTCATCGAGAGTGGAATTTGTCAATATGAACAATGATTTTATTCAAATATCTTGAGGCACTAAAAATGTAACTCATCTTGAGTTGAGCCACAAAGCTCCAGTAATTCAACGTAGATGATTATTTAATAGAGTATCTTGAGTCACTAAGTATGAAATATTAAGAGTGAAGCTTTGTCCTTACTATCACAAATAAAGATTTGAGTCGAGTATGTAAAACTCAAACAATAAAACTCATCGAAAGCAGAGATTGATAATGACTAAAGATGAATAGTAACTTCAGTTGCTTACTAAGAATGGAGCTTAGTGGTTCAAGGTGAATTACGATTTGAATCGAGTCTCTCTAACCTCCAAGGATGGAACTAACCAAGATGGTAGCTTAATTGCGGATAGTTCAAAAATGATAAAAAAAATAATCATAAACGACTTGAATAATGATTCTAATAGATTATTCTAATTAGTCGAACAAGTGTATATCAAAAAAGAAAGAAAAATAAATTATAAACTAATTAAACTAAACAGACCAACAAAAATCCCAGGACACCATTTGGCCTTTTTTAGTCCTTTGTCCATCACATTTAGTAGAAAGAAGTAGTTTCAAAATCAATTTTTCCCCCTTTTCCAATTAGTATAGGGTTTACTGTTTCTACAAATTCAATACGAAAATCCATATACACATCGAAAATTAACAATGGAGAATGGTGATGGAACAAATGGGAAAAGGATAAGGGCTGAAGATGTAATATGTAAGCTCAAGGACGATGGCGATTTCGATAAACTTCGCCTCAAAATTGTTCGCAGAATGAAAGAAAATGTCAGTATTTGCTTATTCTTCTTTGGTTTTGTTGTTTAGGTTCTTCATTGGGCTTAAACTGTTAAAGAGTATTTGTTATCTTCGGTTTCTATATTGTTAATTCTGTTTTTACATCAATTTGCGCTAAACCCTGAGTTGGGTTTTGTTCTTTTTGTTCCATTAAAATTGTATGTTATTGGTATTGGAGATTCGACGTTAATTATTGGATTTAAGTTATATACACAGGTAGTGATTGTTAGAGTAGAATGTTAATAGGTATTCGAGTGCTGTTTTTTCTAGTAGAGTTATTATTGTTACTCTCGTGTATCTTATTCCTGGACTTTATTATTACTTGTTGTTCACTTGGTTTCAGTTATTGTAGTGCTCGTTGTTGATAAAGCTCTCTTCTTTTTACAAAATGGCTTATTTGCTATGGCTTGATATGCTTTACTTGAGTTGAGCACCTTCTAGAGGTGCATGCACTTCACTTGTGAGATTACAATGGGTATGTTGCTGTTTACACTGGGAGTGAGGTGAGTCAAGGCGTGTAGTTTTTCTGGGCTGGGTGCCTTTTATAGAGAGAGAAAAATGAGGCAAGAGGTGTAGTTTTTCTAGGCCGCGTGCTTCTATAGATGAAAAAAGGTGTGTGTAGGTTGGCTCAAGCTAGATAATACTTACGAGCAGAATGAGAAGACTATGATATGTGGCATGTAGTTTTTCTGGTGTGGGTGCCTCCTATAGAGAAAAAAAAGGGTGTGCAAAGATAGGCTCAAGCTAAGATTCTACTTGCGAGCATAATGGGCAGACTATGGTACGAGGCGTGTTGTTTCTCTGGTGTGGGTGCCTACTATTGAGAAAAAAGAGGTGTTCAAAGGTACACTTGACCTAAGAATATGCTTGCATGGGAGATGATATTATATCTCTGAATGCCCTGAACTTAAAACAAAAGCATTAGTTAGTAGTAACGACTCATTCAAGAAATGGATTAGTTTTTTTAAACTGGTAAGTTTGTATTCTTCAGCATTGAGGATAAGCTGACCACCATCAAAAGAATTAGAGATTCCCTATCAGATCTATAATCTGTTTAGTATCCTCTATACATAATTGTTTACACCAAACAAGTAAAGATAAAATAAATTTCCATTTGCCCTTGTGAATTGGACCTATCTGTAAAACATCTTGCATTTCTTTCCCTCCATACTGCCCACCATATGCATGAAGGGATCAGTCTGCAAACCCCCCCCCGCCCCCCCTCTTTCCCTCCTTTCTTATCCAACAACTAAGAAGCATCTGATGTATGCTCAGGCATGGTCCAGCTCTTCCCTGTTGAGGAACAAAATTCCACAGCTGAGCAGTGTACTTACAAATGCAAAAAAATGTGTTTGTTTGTCTCCTCAGTCTCCATACATAGAAAACACCTAGGAACAAGTTGTGTTCCCTTCCTCTGTAGCACTTCTTGAGTTAGGCAGGCCCATTTTATAACCAACCCGATGAAGCACTTTACTTTGTGGGTATGTTACTTTTCCAGATGATGCATTGGTCATATACTTTAGTCACCAGAAGACCCCTTGTGTAAGCACTCTTTACAGAGAAAATCCCATTTCTATTGTGAATGAAAAGAGCTCTATCCTGTATTACTGATACTTGCCCTATTTTCCCCAATAACAGGGCTACCTCCTATATCTCCCAATCATTTAAAAGCCTCCTAAAAGGGATGTCCCACCCTTGTGTTGACCAAGACTCTTGGACTGTCATCTCCGGATTTACACAAATAAGAAATAGATCAGGGAATGCTTAGTAAAGAGGGGTTTGTTCAATGCACTTATCTCTCCAAAATTTTACCTTGCACCGCTGCCTACCTTGAGGTAGATGTTGGCTTCCATTGATTGCCACAGATTTCTAATTGTTCTCCACACTCCCGCTCCATATGTATCCGGTACCATTTCTGTGCACCATGGATAGCTTCACCATACTTTGTCACAAGGACTTCCTTCCATAGAGTCCTATCCTCAGTGATGTATATCCATAACCATTTCGACAAAAGACTCTCATTCTGCAACCTCAAGTACCTGATTCCTCGACCCCCTTCACTTTTGCTGAGAAACACTGTTTTCTAGTTCACCAGACAATAACCCTTCCCCTCCTTATTCCCTTGCCACAGAAACTTCCTCCTAATTCTATCTAGCTTTTTCACCACCTTTGCTGGGATTGTGAAAAGGGACATCACATAAGTGGGCAGTGAGTCAAGAAATGGATTAGTAACTACAAACAAAAGGCATTAGGGATAGAGTTTGTTCGTTTCATGGCCACACAAACAAGATAGTGAAGTGTTTCACCTAAAATAAAATGATTTCTGTTACAAAAATCACACTCCAAAATATGTATATGAATCAATTCTGTGTCAAAGTTGATGGTAAAAAGTATAGGCAGCATTAAATTTGATGGTCGTGCTTCCAAGTATATAGAAAAACATGGGTTTGGGGTGGAGCAAAAGGGCAGAGAAAGTTTCTCTATCGGTTTCTGAAAGCATTAGATACCTGTCTTAGGTTGGTCAACAAAGAATATTCATCCTCATTATATTGAATTTCATTTAGAATTTTGTCCCTCCTAATTTAGATATTTATTTTCTCACAGAGAACTTGAGAATAAAGGACCCTACTCTTAGTTTAAAAAAAAATAAAGGACCCTACTCTTGATAATAAAATTAAAACATATTTCTTGTCCTTCAGTATATCTATATGTAAAAATAAGATCAAAGATACACACGTTATCTTTGTTATGGTGTACGTAAATGATGTATTTCTAATTTTAAAGTTTTGTAATTATTTACTTGCTAAATTTAGTATGAGAGGGTGGTTAATTTTTCTAATTGTAAGAAAAAAGAACTATATATATACTTGATTTGTTTTCAGGTGAGTCTGTGAGGTAAGATGGTTGTTATTTTTGTTCTTCTAATTGATGGATGAATTGTTTAAGGTTGAGGAGCTAGTAGTGGATTGGGGTTTTTGTCCTCTATTGTCTTCTACTCGACTCCCACCAAGAAAAAAAACTTTTGGTGCTTAAAGACAGAAGAAGCACCAATACCATTAATAGCAGTCTATTTAAGTGTTAGTCAACTTCACCTAGCTGCAAATTGAAAAGGAAGATAACCCTAATTCTTAAGGAAGATGATGAGAGTTTTCTATCAAATTTTAAAATTGTATATATATATTATTTTCCCTTTTAGTATATGAGAAAACTCCCAACTTTTAAATGACCATTTTATGTTGAGTTTGCCCGCTGTCATGTATTTGAACCCTGCTGCAGACTAAAGCCTGTTATTTAAGTGAAGAAGGGTACAAGCACAGGCCTATCGAGTTTTGCACCGTCCTCTGCTTTCCCTGGAGGATTTCACAGTTATTTTAAAAACAGGCAAGAGAAGAAGGAGCATTTTATGCTAAAGTTTTGAATCAATGAAATATATTGTTTATATTGTTCAATATCTTTGGATCAATTAAGGCTGAATAAATTGTTTATCAATTTGTATTTTACTCGTGTCGTGTCACTCTACTTTCAAAGTTTGTTTTTTCCATAATGTGTTAGTGTTGAAAATGATGAATTGCTTAACACCAAGAAAGAACCATTGACTTTTTAGTGAAAATATTTTGTTTTTTGCGCAAAAAACATAATTTCTTTTGTGAATTTGAAGACATTTGTTTGCAACAGTCTTAATATGTGTTTTCTTAAAGGGCATGTTAGGTCTCAGCTTGATGTAGGACAGACTACAATTGTGCAAGGGTTTTAGAAGATAGCTTAAGTTTCATTGAGCTCTTTTCTAAAATAAGCTGATAATATTTAGGCAACATCTCTAGCATTGGGCTTTGTTGTTGTGCCTCAGTTTTATTCAAGATACTGTTTTCTGATGATCGAGAAATTCGTTTGGGGCCAACCCATTAAGACCAACTGCTGCCTTTGAAACTCGAGGATAATGATCCCATCCCTCTACCCTTATCCAATTAGATACTAAGTATATTTCTCATGGCACACGGCTCAAGCCTGTGATCAATGTCACAGTCCCTTAAGCTTTGCCACTTGAACTAAGCCTGGGGTGAAGTTTTACTCAATACCTAAGAAAATGAAGGTGAGATTTGAGTTGAAATATAGTCATGAAAATATGGTCTAATAGTTCTCTCTCTCAAAAAAGAAAGAAATTAGTTTTAATGATGTAGCACGCCGAATTTAATTGTAAGGATGAACTGCTGACAAAATTGGCATACAATAAGTGGAGAAGGGTAGAGGGGTGGGTTAATGATCCACAGACATTTGACTGTGTGCCAAATACTCTCCCTGATTTCTCGGTTATCAAGAAAAATAATACACATACACCACGTTAAGGATGAAACTGGAAAACAAATCAATAATAACCTATATGATCGAAAAGTTTATCATTGCTAGTTCTCGATTAAAGAGAGCTCTTTTCTGCCATTAGTTAGTTTCACTTGTCTGATCCGTTTCTAGTTTCTATATTTCCTGTTCTTTTTTGCATTGTCACGATATTCAAAAAGTGTTCAATCATCAGCAACATACAAAATATAAACTTACATCTCAAAGACTCTCGGGATTAGTCTCTCCCAAGCAAATATATTTGTACCTTCGCCTCTTAAAACTGTAGTCTTAATGGTTCTTTTTCTGTGTGTGAATGAGTTGGATGTTGGTGCATCTTTTGGATAATGTGCTATCTGCTTGACAATTATGATTACCAAGATAAATAGGCAAAAAACACATAAAAATTCGTCAATAGATTATTCACTTGAATTGATAACTTGAGAAACTGAAGATAATGGAAAAGCTCCAATCCCCCTCCTCCTGTGGGTGAAGTGCGTTGGTTGACACAGTTATGGTATGTCATTGTCAGTGGGGCATGAACTTTTTTGTTGCATATTTTCTGTATCCACTATGTAAATGGATTTGTATGTCATTTCTTTTGGCTTACGTGGTATGTTATCTTTTTGCTTTGTCTTCAGATAAACAAAAGGAATAGAATGATGCTATTATACATTTAAGCTTACATGTGTGCTCCAGTTGTGTGACAATTGTGTTTTTTTCCAGGTAGAGTTGCGAAATAGCTTAAGAGCTACAGTGAAAGAATCAGCAGCACTTAACCGTCCAGGTGCAGAAAATATGAAACTGAGGCAACTGTCCGATGCTATATATCAAGAAGTTGGGTAGGTCATATTTTCAACCTTTTCCCATGGTTTTGATTTTTTCTCTTCAAGACACTAGAAACATGCCTGAACTGTCCTTCAGTAGATCTCAACAACCCCCCCTCCCTTCTTTTAACTGGGTTGTTCAACTAGGCTGTTTCCGTTTCTTCTTTTCTTTCACAAGAACCTTTTGACTATAGGATAAGTGGTAGTTGTTTATTTTTTGGGGGACTGGAAATTGTTGACATCTTTTAAAACAATCTGGGCCTTTCAATTTGGTATTGAAGGAATAATTGTTTATCAACACAATGAAAGAGAATATTTCTGACGAGTACAGCAAAAAAGTTGGTACTCGAGGGGGAGGGGTACGGGGATGGCCGTGTCATGTTAGGAGAGAAATTTAAGGGGCCTAACTGATAGATTAATGAAAGCTCAATTATTCTAGTCTTTTTTCCTTTTATTCGAACAGCGAATTATGATTCTGTGTTTCAACTAGTGGTATTAAAAGTTAATCTGGTAATGGATATAGAGTTCCACAATTTTAACCTGTTTTGGTCATGAACTATAGGGACAAAGTCATGAGTAAAATTTCAGATGATTTGTGGAATACAATCAGAACCAGTGATGGCATTCAAACGGAGATAACCGAAACGGTTCAATCAGTTTACAATAAGTTATTGAACCCACAGCTAAATGATGCTGGTGAATCGGCCTTCCATTCAGACTTGCAGCCAGCTCAGAATGGAGTTGAAAGTAATGGACATCTTGCTGTTTCTGACAGTGGTATTGATACCACATTTTCTGCTGATGCGGAACCAAGTGAACCTCCTGGTTTTACCCGATTAAGTTCAAATCAGAACGGCAAAAGTGACCATAAGGAATCACCGAAAGAAGTGTCGGGAATTCCTGTTCCTTCTGATGGAAAAGCAAAAGAAACATATACCCAGTCAGAGAACAACTGCTCACTTGACCCTTTGGTACCCAACAGTGTGGATGTGGGTGCGCCACCTGGCTTTGCTATAGGCACAAAAGAGAAGAATCCAGATGATGTTAATGATGAAGATCCTGAAGTGCCTCCAGGATTTGGCTGATGGCTTATTAAGTTGTTCATATAGTTCTGTTTATATTTTTGGGAAAGGTTAGCCATATTTGGTTGGTCATTGTTGTATCAAGTTCTAGAAGCTTGTGTTTGTACTTGCAGAGAGTACTTTACTTTCACTGCGCCGACTAGCAGCTCATGACCTCTCTTTCTTCAATTTCCCGAGGTTAGAAGTCTTAACTATGTCGCTTGTGCATGATCTTGGATTACAGATTAGTACTATCAAAACTCAGAGGCTTCAAATATGAACATTGCTGATGACAAGATGTCTTGTTGTAAGATGTAGACTAAACTAAGTTAATTTTGTTGGTTCTTTAGATGCTACCCGCAATATTTCTTCCTAACCTGTTCAAGTTGGATTTTTTTTCTCCCTTGTGATTTGTCTTTTAAATGTTTTTCTTTAGCTGAACAAGTTCCTAGATAACAAGCCTAAAGGTTTTTTATTGATGAGCTTGATATTGATGATAGTGACAATCTTGATGCTAGTGATGATATCAATCGTGACCTTGATACGGAGCTGGAACTGCTAACTAGGATGAATGGGTTTGTTTTTCCTAAATTTTTAGGAGTTGATGCTGTGGATTGGACAAAGGAAAATTAGTTGGTCATCCCATATGGCAAGAAGGTATTTTTTGTAAATGCCTTTACATGATTTTCTAAGCAATTTATTTTTCTCTTGGTTACAAAGATGAAGCACTATGCTCTGGTGAGGTGCCTTGCCTCTTATGGAGAATTATACTAGAGAAAAAAACTACTCCATTTGTCTCAATTTATGTGTCACCCTTTCTTTTTAGTCTTTCAAAAAAAGAAAGTCATACTTCTTTATTTAGAAACAATAAAGAGGTGATGTATAGCCACACAAATATCTATAATTTAAACTTTACTCTTTACCCTTAAAGAGGTGATGTATAGCCACACAAATATCTATAATTTATTTAAACCAATTTTTCAAATATCTTTCTTTCTTCCTTAAACTTTGTACCTCATCAAACACCATCGCCACATAAATTGAGACGGAAGGAGTAGGATATTCTGAATTATTCATATTTATGATATGAATTTGTAGAACTATATTGTTAAGTTATGTTGCCACCTCTTCTAAAAGGTTAAGTTGTTAGAGAGAACATATCTAATTAATTATATTTTCAATACGCTTCTTTCATGCCAGCCAACTTTTTTTTAATGATCCAAGCACATGGGAATTGTTCTTGATGAAGGTTGGTGGTGAAATTTAAACTCAGGACATCTGGTTCCATGATAAATTACGTGACCACTTTATGTCTGAAAGCTTAGGTTGTTAGAAAAAACTAATTTAATTATATCGTCAAGATTCTACTAGTTGGAAATAAGTCTTGGACTTGTTAGAAGCTTTCTAATTTTATTGTTTCACACACACACACCACTTCTAATTTTATGGCATAAGTTGAGCTTCAAAGAAGTAGTGAGGATTCATATACTCGACTTGACTCGTCGGGACTGAGATGTTATTTAATTATATTGACAAGATATATTTTCTCTTCTGAATGGAATTTTATGATCTGTACTTGTGTTTGTGTATGCTACATGAGATGATGGAATTTTGTTGACAAGTCTATGGATAATGCAGGTATGCAACACACTAACTTCAGGTGCAAGAAGTGTTATTTATTGGTTTTATTAAGTTCCAAGCATGTTTCTTTTGGATTCAAAATTTAGATTTGTTTGCCTAAATACTCTTGTAATACGATTCAGAATTTGTTTGCCTAAACATTCCTGTAACATGAATTGGAATTCAGGTTTGTTTGTCCAAACACTCTTGTAATATGTTTCGGAATTTAGGTTTGTTAGCCTAAACAGTCTTGTAATAGTATTCAAAGTTTTGATTTGTTTGTCGAAACACTGGTGTAATATGATTCAGTTGCGAATGCATTTTTTTTTATTGAATGGAAAGTTATGGTACTGCAATTAGTTGAATCTATTTTCAAGTTTTGGCAGTTTGATTAAAACATTCATTTCTATTTATCATTCTAGTTATTGAAAATGGCTCTCATTTAATTGAGTTACTGGCAGACTCTCATGTGGAAACTCTAGATTTACTCAATCTCAGAAAGTTGAATTTTCAGATTAAATTAAACCAAATTGTTATGAAATTAAGTTTTTCTTTTTTTACATAATCTAATGTAGTTAATTCACAATTACCAATAATTGTGACCTAAATTGAGTAATAAGAAGTTTCACCCAAGTGTGTGTCCTAGTGGTCAATGAGGTGTGAGTGGTCATGAAGGATGGGAACCTCTAGGGAGAAAATATTGAAAGATTGGACACCATAGACGCTTGACAAAAGTATCAAGAAACATAGAAGTGAGCGGTGTTGATCCCAACAATATTTTCTTCATTTCCAAGGGCGTGAACCTGAGGCCTCTAGTTAAGCGTGATGAGATTCCGACCATCCACCACAACCTATGCCGGTGAACAATTAAAATTCAATGAAATAATTTTATCTATTATAACTTTATGAAAAAAGAAAAGATATTAAAGGAAAGGAACTTTCACAAAATGAAAAGTAGAGTCATCTATCATTCTATTGTTTTTAAAATATGAGTGTCATTCCATGGAAGTATTTAATTCATTAGGTATTTATAGATTGCAACTTAGTTTAACTTTGGCTTTATGAATCCTCACCGTCCATTTATACTCTATGAACTCAAATAATTCAACGTTGATACAAACCTTAATCTTAATTATTCAGATTTCAGTTATTAAGTGCATTTATTTTTCAGGTTTAATTTTAATCACTCAAATTTCAATCATTAATGGTGTGAAGGAAAAGGTGTTCCATGAAAAATGTGTTTCTCGGAAAATAAGTGATTTTTTTGTATTTGTTATACGTAAGTAGAAAATATTATCCCAAAAATATTTGTATATAATCTACGCAAACACAAGTGGGAGTAGGGGCGGAGAAGAGACAATCAATATGAAATGGCACTTCCGAAACTTATTTTCCATTCTTAGACTATTCTTAGTTACTCTTTCACATCACTTTCCTTTTTCTTTTCTTTATTCTTCCTATTACTAGTTGTTTCATAGAATTTCTACTATTAACTTTAATTCAGAACATCAACAGATTAGAGTTTTTCTGTAGCCCATTTTGCAGCTATGAAAATCTTGAAATTTTATCTTGTTTTTACCATACTTGGCTGTTTTTCATGGCCTAGTATACAAAGTGAATTAAAGACGTATATAGTACACGTTGAATCCCCAGAAAACCAAATTTCAACACAAATTTTATCAGAGGATTTGGAAAGTTGGTATCAGTCCTTTTTGCCAAATACAATAGCAAGCACACACTCAAATGAAGAGGAGGGGCCGCGTTTAGTATATTCATATCGCAATGTTATGAAAGGCTTTGCTGCAAGATTATCAGCAGAGCAAGTGAAAGAAATGGAGAAGAAACCAGTCTTCATATCTGCACAGCCACAGAGGATATTGTCTTTACACATGACTCATACTCCGAGTTTTCTTGGATTGCAACAGTACAGTGGCTTGTGGAGGGATTCCAACTATGGTAAAGGTGTGATCATCGGTGTTTTAGACACCGGGATTTCACCTGACCATCCTTCATTTAGCGATGAAGGAATGCCTCCTCCGCCTGCTAAATGGAAGGGAAAGTGTGAATTGAACTTCCTTACAAAGTGTAACAACAAGCTCATAGGCGTGAGGACTTTCCCAAAAGAAAACGGTTCGCCAATAGATGATGATGGACACGGTACTCACACCGCCAGCACTGCTGCTGGCGGTTTTGTGAGAGGTGCCAATGTGTATGGAAATGCAAATGGCACTGCTGTTGGTGTTGCCCCTCTTGCTCACTTGGCTATTTATAAAGCCTGTGACTCAACTGGTTGCGCTAGCAGTAACATTTTAGCTGCTATGGATGCAGCTATTGATGATGGCGTTGACATCTTATCCCTTTCCCTTGAAGGATTTACTAGACCCTTCTATAATGATCCCGTTGCACTCGGTGCGTATACCGCAACTGAAGGAGGTATCCTTGTGAGTTGCTCTGTAGGTAATAGTGGTCCAACCAATAGTTCTTTATCAAATGAAGCCCCATGGATTCTCACTGTAGGCGCGAGCACTCTTGATAGGAAAATTAAAGCAACTCTTCAATTGGAAAACAAACATGAAATTGAGGGTGTATCAGCTTTCCATCCAAAGGTTTTAAACTCAACATTTTTTCCTCTGAATGAACCTGGAAAGAATGAAAGCGAATCTACTGAAGGTTCTTATTGCCAAGATGGATTAGTGTACAATTCTAATGGAGGCAAAATAGTTTTGTGCCTGGTAGTTGGAAAAGGACAAGTTGTAAAGAATTCCGGAGGCGTTGGCATGATTATCATCAATAAGGAGGAAAATGGTTTCACGACATCAGCTAATGTTCACGTCCTTCCTGCCCTTGATGTTACTTATGCAAATGGAATGAAAATTCTTGCCTATATGAATTCAACAAAGAAACCTGTTGCCCGGATTACATTCCAAGGAACAATAATAGGTGATAAAAATGCTCCTGTAGTTTCTTCTCGCAGACCAAACTTAGCTAGTCCTGGAATCTTGAAACCGGATATTATTGGTCCTGGTGTAAACATTCTTGCTGCTTGGCCTACCTCCATGGAAACAACAAAATCTACCTTCAATATTATTTCTGGCACCTCCATGTCTTGTCCTCACCTGAGTGGAGTAGCTGCATTGCTAAAAAGCACTCATCCCACTTGGTCTCCGGCAGTTATCAAGTCAGCCATCATGACAACTGCTGATACAGTAAACCTCGCCAACAAGCCCATCCTAGATGAAAGGCTTTTTCCTGCAAATATCTTTGCGGTTGGTGCAGGACATGTCAATTCCGTCAAGAGCAAATGATCCAGGACTAATATATGATACCCCATTCAAGAGCTACTTACCATATTTGTGTGGTTTGAATTACACAAATCAAGAGATTCAAAGCCTTCTACAACGCAAGGTGAACTGCTCAGAAGTGAAAAATATTCCTGAAGCACAACTAAATTATCCTTCATTTTCCATCACACTTGGAGCAAATTCTCAAACATATACAAGAACAGTGACTAACGCCGGAGAGGCTAAATCATCTTACAGTGTGGAGATAGTTTCACGACCAGGAGTTTCTGTGATTGTTAAGCCCTCTACTCTGAAATTCTCCAAGTTGAACCAGAAGTTGACATATCAAGTGACCTTTTCAAAAACGGCGAATAGTTCAACCAGTGGTACAGTTCAAGGATTCTTGAAATGGACTAGTAATAGGCACTCTGTAAGAAGTCCAATTGCAGTTGTGCTAGTCTAGTGAAACTGCAAGATTTAGTTTTTCGTTTCATTTACTTTTAGTAATTTGATCCTTCTACAATAATCATGTATTAGTTGTTCCAATTTCTTCAAATGATCCATTGATATCTAATGAATCTGCTTTTTTGTTTCCCTACTGTAACTTTTGCTTTACAATGTGAGTGTATGTAGCAGCCATATGCTTTCCCTTGTTCTTGATTTTGTATATACTATAACAATATTAGTATGGGAACTTTAACTTCCTTGTACACGTAACGTATGGATGTTGCCTTTGCCCCCTGTTTGATGTTGGACTTATTTTAGTAACTAATAGTAATGATACATGGTTCTTCGTTTGAGCTAGCACTCACTATGGTCGTTGGAAAGAAAGAATCATTCCAGCTCTCTAAATCCATCGCTGATGATTGAGTAGAAATTTGACTCTATGGGGACTGAACTTGTATTATATAAGTCTTGAACGGACTCTGAATAATAATTGGCCATATAAGAGAGGTAAGCAAGCAAAAAAAGAAGATATTTTTCAAGAATTCCATGGTTGCAAATGGGCTAGAAGAACTCTAATTTCTTACTATTCTGAAGTAATTCATGAACTATGATGCGCTTATTTAGTAACATAGATTCTGAGAGAGAAATGCAGAGAGTTTCATTTCTGTAAATGAAGCAATTCTAACACTAATGCACATTCCTATAATGAAAAGATGACTAAAAAGATTACATAAAGAGGGTAAAAGAAGAGAATAAAGTAATACAAGTATAATAGAGTATCATGAGTACTTTCTGCATTCATTCTACATTTTGGATTCAAACAATGAATGCAGGCTTATTACATGGAACAAATCATGACTTTTTAAAACGAAACGAGACTAGAAATCAAACGTTGCAGTTTCTTATAGAACGATTGCAATTGGACTTCTTACAGAGTGCCTATTACTAGTCCATTTCAAGAATCCTTGAACTACACCACTAGTTGAACTATTGTCTGTTTTTGAAAAAGTTACTCGATAGGTCTTTTTCTGGTTCATCTTCGAGAACTTCAGAGTAGAGGGCTTAACAGTCACGGAAACTTCTAGTGGTGAAACTATTTCCACAATGTAAGATGATTTAGCCTCCCCGACATTAGTCACTGTTCTTGTATATGTTTGAGGATTTTCTCTGAGTGTGATGGAAAATGAAGGATAGTTTAGTTGTGCTTCAGGAATGCTTTTCACTTCCGAGCAATCCACCTTACGTTGTAGAAGGTTTCCAACCTCTCGGTTTGTGTAATTCAAACCGCATAAATAAGGTACATAGTCCTTGACTGGGGTATCATAAATTAATCCTGGATCATTTGCTCTTTCTGGATTGACATGTCCTGCACCAAACGCGAAGATGCTAGCAGGAAGGAGTGTTTCATCTAATATGGGACCGTTGGCAAGATTGGTTGTATCAGCTGTTGTCATGATTGCTGATTTAATAGCTGCAGGAGACCAAGTGGGATGAGCGCTTTTTAGCAATGCTGCTACGCCACTGAGGTGAGGACAAGACATGGAGGTTCCCGAAATAATGTTGAAAGTAGATTTTGTGTTGGTGTTGTTCTCCATGGAGGTAGGCCAAGCAGCAAGAATGTTTACACCAGGACCGATAATGTCAGGCTTTAAGATTCCGCGACTAGCTATGCTTGGCCCTCTGGAAGAAAATGCAGCAACAACCGGAGCATTTTGATCACCGAGTATAGTTCCTTGGAATGTATTCCGAGCAACAGGTTTCTTCGTTGAATTCATATAGTTGATGATTTTCATTCCGTCTTCATAAGTTACATCCATTGCTGGAAGGACGTGAGCGGTAGCTGATGTAGTGAAACCATCTTCAGCCCTGTTTATTAGAATCATGCCAACACCTCCAGCATCCTTAACAGCTTGTCCTTTAGCAATTCTCGAATAATCGCCTCCCATCATACACAATACTATTTTGCCTTTAACAGCATGGTCACTCAACGTACCTGATCCGCAATAAGATTTGCGAAACTCACTAGCATTTAGTGCAGGAACAAACAAAGGGAAGAATTTTGTACTAACACCCTTTGGATGAAAGGCCGATTCACCCTCAAACCATTTTTTGTTTCCTAGATGAACTGTTGCCTTAATTTTCCTGTCAAGAGTGCTCGCGCCTACTGTGAGAATCCACGGGGCTTCGTTTGAAACAGAACTTTTGGATGGACCAGTATTACCTGCAGAGCAACTAACAAGAATGCCTCTTTCAGTTGCGCTATATGCACCGAGTGCAATGGGATCACTATGGAAGGGACTAGTATATCCACCAAGGGAAAGGGATATGATATCAACACCATCATCAATAGCTGCATCCATGGCAGCTAAAACGTTACTGACAATGCAACCAAAAGAGTCACAGGCCTTATAAATAGCCAAGTGAGCAAGAGGGGCAACACCAACAGCAGTGCCATTAGCATTTCCATACACATTGGCACCTCTCACAAAACCACCAGCAGCAGTGCTGGCGGTGTGAGTACCGTGTCCATCATCATCTATTGGCGAACCATTTTCTTTTGGGAAAGTCCTCGCACCAATGAGCTTGTTGTTACACTTTGTAGTGAAGTTTGATTCACACTTTCCCTTCCATTTAGCAGGCGGCGGAGGCATTCCTTTGTCGCTAAATGAAGGATGGTCAGGAAGAATCCCAGTGTCCAAGACTCCGATGATCACGCCTTTCCCATAATTGGAATCCCTCCACAAGCCAATGTTCTGCTTCAATCCAAGAAAACTCGGAGTACGTGTAGTGTGCAAAGACAATAACCTCTCCGGCCACACATTTACAAAGCCTGATTTCTTCTCCATTTCTTTCACTTGTTCTGCTGATAATCTTGCAGCAAAGCCTTTCATCACATTGCGATATGAGTATATCAAGCGTGGCGCCTCTTCATTTGAGATTGTGCTTGCTATACTCTTTGGCAAAAAAGAATTGTACCAACTTTCTAAATTCATTGACATTGATTGGCTTTCTGGAGATTGAACTTGAACAATGTAAGTATCTAAATTGCTCTGCATACTTGGCAATGATAAACAACAAACTATGAATAAAGCAAGAAGGAACTTCATGGCTACAAAATACATGAACTAATAATAATAATGTATAGTTGATGATTTTGCATAGTAGAATATATAGTGCCAGGCTTTTTAAATGGAAACTTAAAAGATGTTTAGCTCTTTTCCTTTTTGATAAAGATGTAGGTGGAACATAATTAAAGTTATCCCTGTCATAAAAAGATACTACTAATAATTTAAGTGCCAGGCTTCTTGTATGGAAACTTAATTTTCCCAATTGGCTTGTAAGAATTCTAAAATTTATTAGAAAAAATGCTGTTTTTTATATAAAAAAATACATACAAATATTCTTGGGAACGAGCAAAGAGTTTGGTAACAAGTTATGAACTCATAAAGTTTAAATCTAGGTTACGCACGCCGATGAGAACTTTAACTTCTTTTTTTTCCACATGCACCATGTGGATTTAGTATCTGGCATTTTTTTGGATTTATCCTATGTCCTACTCAATTTTCAATTGGACAAAATGTTACTAAAAGTTTATATCTAATGAATAATTACATGTTTCAAGAATCTTGGTAGGGTCAATACCATATTGTTTGAGCGGGAATCCAAGAACGAAAAAGTTGTTTGAATTTTGAAAAAAAAAAGGTAGTCCAAATGTGACAGGGGAGAGATCAGCAAAATCGTCCTTTTTGTCCTTTTTTGTCAACAAATACAAAAAAAATTGACTTCAATGTTTCAAGAAGCTGGCGGACTTGGGCCTTACTTGGCTATTGTTGGGCTGCGTTTCTAGTGGATTTTTGTTTGATTTTGAGCTCATAATTGGATAGGTTTTTTCCTTCTTTCAATTATTTCTTTTCAAGTTTTAAATTAGTAACTACTATTATCTACATTATGTAAAAACTTGAAATAAAATACTATTTTAAAGAAGACGACATTAACGTAATAATAGTAATGTTGATAAAAAAAAAAATTGAAATAGTGAAAATCATAATAAAAAGATGATAATCATAAAAGCAAAGTAATATAGATAATTACGATAACAATAGTGATTAATGGAAAATAATAATGAATTATAAAGTATTCGACTTAGAGCCCGTTTGGATTGACTTAAAAAAAGTAACTTTTCAAAGTGCTGAAACTTATTTTTAAAATAAATAGTTATGTGTTTGGATAAAAGTGTTCCAGTTGAAAAAAAAGTTGTTGATGTGTTTGGCAAATAAGTGCTGGTAAACACTTTTTTTTATCAAAATGTCTGAAATACCCTTTAAGTTGTTAACATGATGAAAAGTTGATTAATTTAAGATTTTTATACTTTAAAAAAAATTAAAACAAAATTAATTTATATTTTACATCCATAAGTAATACTCCCTCAGTTTCAAAAAGATTGGTCTGGTTTGACTTGACACAAAGTTTAAGAAATTAAAGAAGACTTTTGAATCTTGTGGTCCTAAATTAAAGTTATGTCAAATGTACAAAATTGCCCTTAATCTTGTGGTCTTAAACATGCCATGTGGAAAGCAAAAAGTAAAATGTTACCAAAAAAAGAAAGAAGTCATTTTTTTGAAACTGACTAAAAAGGAAAGGAGACCATTCTTTGTGAAACAGAGGGAGTAATATTTTCCTATCATTCACATATTTCTTTACCACCACAATTTATTTATAAGAGGAATAATAATAATAATAATAATAATAAATAATAATAATAATAATAATAATAAAATGATAATAATAATAATAATACTAATAATAATAAAATAATAATGATAATAAAATAATAATAATAATAATAATAAAATAATAATAATAATAATGATAATAATAATAAAATAATAATAATAATAATGATAGTAAAATAATAATAATAATAATGATAATAATAAAATAATAATAATAATAATGATAATAATAAAATAATAATAATAATAATAAAATATCACATATTTCTTTACCACCACAAATTATTTATAAGAGGAATAATAATAATAATAATATAATAAAATAATAATGATAATAATAAAATAACAATAATAATAATAAAAATAATAAAATAATAATAATAATAATAATGATAATAATAAAATAATAATAATAATAATAATAATTTTAAAAAATAAAATAATAATAATAATAATAATTCAATATGGGCAATTTGGAAATTGTATAAAAGAATTAAGGGCAAAACGGTAATATACTTGGTCAACATAAAAAGGCTTTTAAGTTAAAAAAAAAGAAGCTCCCCTCCTCTAGCTTTTAGCTTTTGGCTTAAAATAAGTCACTTTGATAATTGCCAAACACTCTAATAAGTCAAAAACTGACTTTTAAGCTAGTTTGACCAGCTTAAAAGCCCATCCAAACAGGCTCTTATTAGTAATTTAGAAGCTCAACGAAATAAATTAGAAAAAAGGAGGGACAAAATTTGGTGTCACATGCAAAGACTGGTTTTCTTGATATTTTATATATTTTTGATTCCTTCTTTTAGGTATTGGATATTGATATTCTCCTTCAACTTTCTGAGTTGTCATGGGATGGATAGTTCTAATTCCTTCGCCCTTAATTCAAACTCTGAGAGCGGAAAAACCCTTGTAGGTAGCGCTTTCTCCTTTAATGGCCTTATGCAAGTGAATCCAAATTAGGCAGGCCTTAAAAGGGAACACTGAACACTGAATGAGAAATTAAAAAAAAAAAAAAGACACAAGTTTCTAAATCCTCCACCCTAGACCAAAGGTATTGGGTTTGAACCCTCATAATCGAATAAACTCATGGTAGGGAGTGCTTCCTTCTTTAATGGGGGATTAACACGGTGTGGAATCATATTAGTCGTTGATAAAATTATTCCCTGTACTAAAACGGTGAAAGTAATGGCACTAAAAGAAAATATAAGGCTGAGGGGTGGGGAACGGACAAGACTCACCTCGTGAGCTAGCTTTCGTGGTTGAGTTATGCCCAAGATTCATTTCATATAGAACATGTTATCAGAGTAGGATCCACCCCGATTCTTGTTTACTGATGATGGCCCCCATAGGCGTGAAGTGGTGTGTTAAAAGAGTCCCACATTGGATGAAAAAGGGTTGGTGGTTGTATCAGAGATGAACCCATTCGAATTCTTTGTTTCACCAATGTTGGGCCCCAATTATATTGTTCAAGCACCAGTTGGCAGGCCTGGGCATGTGGGGGGTGTTGAGTCCCCCTCATCGGCTAAGGGATGGAGGACTTGGTTTCCTTATATGACTTGAGCAATCCTCACTTTTGAGCTAGATTTTGGGTTGAGTTAGGCTCAAAATCCATTTTATAACAGTTTCTGTGCAAATTCAGCTTGTTGTTGAACGGGAGAGCTACCTACTCCACAAGGCATAATTGATTTAGCACTGTGTGCTTGATCGAAATCAATTGAGAACCTGAAACTTGCAAGTATATATAGTGGATGGTAGTAATCGATCTGTCCATTTCCATTTTCCATCGTGGCTGAGCCTGAGCTAGCTCGAGCTTCAATAATGCTGTTTTTCCGGTTGACTTGAGATAAACAGCCTCAATCTCAGCATCATTTCTCTGATACCTGGAAGTTTGATAATGTAAAGTGAAATTCAACTATAACGAAAGGATGTGGTGTGGTAAATAAAGAAAGTGAAAGAAGAGAATAGAAAAAATAGTAGTTCACTCTGAAATGAAAGTAACACAAGAATAATAGAATAGCATGAGTACTTTCTGCATTCATTCTACATTTTGGATTCAAACAATTAATCCAGGCTTGTTACATGGAGCAAATCATTTTAAAAACGAAACGAGTCTAGAAATCCAAAATTGCAGTTTCTTCTAGAACAATTGCAATTGGACTTCTTACAGAGTGCCTATTACTAGTCCACTTCAAGAATCCTTGAACTACACCACTGGTTGAACTATTGGCTGTTCTTGAAAAAGTTACTTGATATGTCTTTTTCTCGTTCATCTTCGAGAACTTTAGAGTAGAGGGCTTAATAGTCACAGAAACTCCTTGTGGTGAAACTATTTCCACAATGTAAGATGATTTAGCCTCCCCAACGTTAGTCACTGTTCTTGTATATGTTTGAGGATTTTCTCCGAGTGTGATGGAAAATGAAGGATAATTTAGTTGTGCTTCAGGAATGCTTTTCACTTCCGAACAATCCACCTTACGTTGTAAAAGGTTTCCAACCTCTCGATTTGTGTAATTCAAACCGCATAAATAAGGTAAGTAGTCCTTGAAAGGGGTATCATAAATTAGTCCCGGGTCATTTGCTCTGGATGGATTGACATGTCCTGCACCGATGGCAAAAATGCTAGCAGGAAGGAGCGTTTCATCTAGGATGGGATTGTTGGCGAGGTTTACAGTATAAGCAGTTGTCATGATTGCGGATTTAATAGCTGCAGGAGACCAAGTGGGGTGAGCGCTTTTTAGCAATGCTGCTACTCCACTGAGGTGAGGACAAGACATGGAGGTACCCGAAATAATATTGAAGGTAGATCTTGTTTTAGTATTGTTCTCCATGGAGGTAGGCCAAGCAGCAAGAATATTAACACCAGGACCAATAATGTCAGGCTTTAAGATTCCGCGACTAGCTATGCTTGGCCCTCTAGAAGAAAATCCAGCAACAACCGGAGCATTTTTATCTCCGAGTATAGTTCCTTGGAAGGTAATCCGAGCAACATGTTTCTTCGTTGAATTCATATAGTCAATGATTTTCATTCCATCTTCATAAGTTACATCCATTGCTGGAAGGACGTGAGCATCAGCTGATGTAGTGAAACCGTCTTCTACCCTATTTATTAGAATCATGCCAACACCTCCAGCATCCTTAACAGCTTGTCCTTTTGCAATCCTCGTATAACCTCCCCCTATCATACACAAGACTATTTTGCCTTTAACAGCACCGTCAGTCAACGTACCTGATCCGCAATAAGAGCTGTCAGACTCACTAGCATTTAGTGATGGATCAAACAAAGGGAAGAATTTTGTACTGAAAGACTTTGAGTGAAAAGCCGATTCGCCTTCAAACACTTTTTTGTTTCCTAGCTGAACTGTTGCCTTAATTTTCCTGTCAAGAGTGCTCGCGCCTACTGTGAGAATCCACGGGGCTTCATTTGCAACAGAACTTTCGGATGGACCACTATTACCAGCAGAGCAACTTACAAGAATACCTCTTTGTGTTGCACTGTACGCACCGAGTGCAATAGAATCACTATAGAAGGGACTAGTACTCGAACCAAGAGATAGCGATAGGATATCAACTCCGTCATCAATAGCTACATCCATAGCAGCTAGAATCCCACTGTCAGAGCAACCAAACGAATCACAAACCTTATAAATGGCTAGGTGAGCAAGAGGGGCAACACCAACAGCAGTGCCATTAGCATTTCCATACACATTGGCACCTTTCACAAAACCACCAGCAGCAGTGCTGGCAGTGTGTGTACCGTGTCCATCATCATCTATTGGCGAACCATTTTCCTTTGGGAATATCCGTGCTCCAATGAGCTTGTTGTTGCACTTTGTAGTGAAGTTCGATTCACATTTTCCCTTCCATTTAGCAGGCGGAGGAGGCATTCCTCTGTCGCTAAATGAAGGATGGTCTGGAAAAATCCCAGAGTCCAAGACTCCGATGATCACGCCTTTACCATAGTTGGAATCCCTCCACAAGCCAATGTTCTGCTTTAATCCAAGAAAACTCTGAGTACGTGTAGTATGCAAAGACAATATCCTCTCTGGCCACGCATTTACAAAGCCTGATTTCTTCTTCATTTCTTTCACTTGCTCTGCTGATAATCTTGCAGCAAAGCCTTTCATCACATTGTGATATGAGTATATCAAACGCGGCACCTCTTCATTCGAGCTTGTGCTTGCTATACTCTTTGGCAAAAAAGAATTGTACCAACTTTCTAAATCCATTGACATTGATTGAGTTGAAATTTGGCTTTCTGGAGATTCAACTTGAACTATATAAGTCTCTAAATTGCTTTGCATACTAGGCCATGACATACAACCAACAATGAACAAAACAAGAAGGATATTCAAGAACTTCATGGCTACAAATTTACTAAAAGAACTCTAAATACATGAACTAATTATGTATTCATGAAAGAGAAGTTGGTGATTTTGCCTTCTTTGAAGTACTAACATATATAGTGCTAGTCCTATAGTTTTGATTGGTCCATCTAGATCAAGATTTAAAATTGTTTAATCAATAGATACCCTCATGTTACTTAATGTATTATATTGTGTGTGGGAAAAAAAGAAGTATCATGTGATAGAAAAAGGCTAAAGTTGAGAGGAACAATTAAATAAGAACATAAAACATAAAATAATTTTAGTTGGACCTTCCTAAGAATTGACTTAGTCTTGATTGAAGAAAAGCTATCTCTATTTTCTCAGCTCGAATCAAAGACCTCTGATTAAAGACACAAGGATCACCTTTGTTCCACTACATTCCTTGTTGGTAAAATAGGCATTGTTATACGAGGATTACTCTTTACGAGCTCTTTTTGTTATATGTGTATACTTATTCCACATTCTATCAGACATAAAATAAAACTTAATTTTCCCAATTGGCTGTAAGAATTCTAATTTCATACAATAAAATGCAGCTTTTTGCTGAGAAAAAAAAAAAACTTAAAAATTCTAGTCCCCTTGCAAGCCATGCTTTTTCCTTTTCCTTTATTTTGTGCATATTGTAATAGGGGCAGAGCTACTGTATTAGGTAAGGGTTTGATCGAACTCACTATCTTTTGCTTAGATACTGTAGTTATATTAGGAGATTCATTAGATACGTATAAATATTTACTCGCGGACTCAGTAGCTAAAACGAGCGAAGAGTTTGGTAACAAGTTCTGAACTCATAAACTTTAAATCCTGGTTCCGCCTCTATATTATTACCACCTAAAGATGGGAACTTTAACTACTTTTTTTTTCCACATATACCATGTGGATGTTGCTTTATTTTCTTGTTTGATGTTGGATTTAGTATCTGGCATTTTTTTTTGTTTATCATGTGTCCTACTTAAAATACTTATCCCTTTATAATATTCAATTGTACAAATGTTAAAGTTTACATCTAATGAATAAATTACATCTTTCAATAATCTTGGTAGGGTCAGTATCATATTACTTAATTAGACCACTAAGACTCTTGATGAGTATTTTATATTATTCCTTCTTTTAGGTATTGGATGTTGAAATTCTCCCTCTACTTTCTAGACACCATGAGTTGTTGTGGGATGGATAATTTTAATTCCTTCGCCCTTAATTAAATATCTCGGATTCAAACTTCTAGAGCAGAAAAAAAACATGGTATGGAGCGCTTCCTCTTTTAATGGCCTTATGCAGGCGAAAAGGGAACACTGCACACCAAACGGAAAATTAAAAAAAAAATGGACATAAATTTCTACACCCTCCAACTTTAACCAAAGGTCTTGGGATTCGAACCTTTGTGATCGAAAAAAATCATGATAGAAAGTGCTTCTTCCTTTAATGGGCCTAACACGACGCGGATTTGTATTAATTGTGTCTTGTATTTAAGTTTTTATCACTTAACTATGGTTAAGTAATATGCATTATCATTGTAATTTCAGTATAAATACTGAGTGCGAGTAAGTATTTTCCGTTAATATAATAGATGAAAGAGAGTACAATAAAAAGTAACAAGGATCAAAATAGAAATATTAGTCCATACATGAGTGATTTGTGAACTCATTTGGATGCAAACCATTAATGTAGGCTTATTATACATGGAAACAAATTATTAAAAATCAAACAAACTAATCAATATCTGGTGTTTCTGGCTCTTGTAGCACAACTGCAATTGGACTTCTTACAAAGTGCTTATTACTAGTCCATTTCATGTATCCATGAACAACTTCCATGTTTCTAATCTCTGTTGTTGTGGAAAATGTCACACGGTACGTCATCTTCTGATTCAACTTTGAGAACTTTAGAATCGAGGGCTTAACAACCACGGAGACCATTCGTGGTGAAACTATCTCCACGCGATAAGTTGATTTTGCCTCTCCAACGTTTGTCACCGTTCTTGTGTATGTTTGAGGTTTTTCTCCAAGTGAGATGGAAAATGAAGGGTAATTGAGTTGTGCTTCAGGGATGCTTTTCATTTTTGAGCAATTCGCCTTGCGTTGTAGAAGGCTTCCAACCTCTCGATTTGAGTAATTCAAACCGCATAAATAAGGTAAGTAGTCCTTGAATTGAGTATCGTAAACTAGTCCTGGATCATTTGCTCTTGATGGATTGACATGTCCTGCTCCATACGCGAAGATTCTAGCAGGAGTGAGTGTTTCACTTAGGAAGGATTCGTTGTTGAGGTTGACTATGTCCGCGGTTGTCATGATTGCTGATTTAATAGCTGAAGGGGACCACTTGGGGTGCGCGCTTTTCAGCAATGCTGCTACTCCACTGAGGTGAGGACAGGACATTGAGGTGCCCGAAATGATGTTGAATGTCGATTTTGTGTTTGTTTTGTTCTCAACCGAATTATGCCAAGCTGCAAGAATGTTGACACCAGGACCAATAATATCAGGCTTCAAGATTCCAGGACTAGCTGTGCTCGGTCCACGAGCAGAAAATGCAGCAACCACCGGAGCATTTTTATCTCCAATTATCGTTCCTTGGAACGTAATTCTAGCCACAGGATTCTTAGTTGATTTCATATAGTCAGTGATTGAATTTCTATCAGAGGATGTCACGTCCAAGGCTGGAAGGACGTGAGCATCTGCTGATTTAGTGGAACCGTCCTGAGGACGATTTGTGAGAATCATACCAACACCTCCAGCATTCTTAACAGCTTGCCCTTTTTCAATTCTGTTAAAACCACCACCTACCTCACACAAGACGATTTTCCCTTTTGCAACAGCGCTGAGCTCAGTCAGCCCTGGTCCGCAAAAGAGGATATCTGAGTCAGAATCAGGATCAGTTGCATTCTCTGAAGGATCAAACAAAGGGAAGAATTTGTTATTGGAAACTTTAGGATGAAAAGCTGATTCACCCTCGAATTCTTCTTTGTTTCCAAGCGTTAGAGTGGCCTTAATTTTCCTGTCAAGCGTGCTCGCTCCTACTGTGAGAATCCACGGGGCTTCATTTACAACCGTGCTTTCAAATGGACCGTTATTACCAGCAGAGCAACTTACAAGAATACCTCTTTGTGTTGCACTATACGCCCCGAGTGCAATAGGGTCACTATGAAAGGGGTTAGTAGTTCCACCAAGGGAAAGTGATAGGATATCAACTCCGTCATCAATAGCAGCGTCCATAGCAGATAAAACACCACTATCAGAGCAACCAAACGAATCACATACCTTATAAATGGCTAGGTGAGCAAGAGGGACAATTCCAACCGCGGTGCCAATAGCATTTCCAAACACATTGGCACCTTTCACAAAACTGCCAGCAATTGTGCTGGCAGTGTGTGTACCATGTCCATTATCATCTATTGGTGAACCATTGGCTTGTGGGAACGTCCTCGCTCCAATGAGCTTGTTGTTACACTTAGTAGTGAAGTTGGATTCACATTTTCCCTTCCATTTAGCAGGCGGAGGAGGCATTCCTTCGTCACTAAATGAAGGATGGTCAGGTGAGATCCCAGTGTCTAAAACACCGATGATCACACCTTTCCCATAGTTAGAATTCTTCCACAAGCCAATGTTCTGTTGCAATCCAAGAAAACTCGGACTATGCGTGGTGTGTAAGGACAAAATCCTCTCTGGCCACGCAGCTATAAATCCCGGTTTCTTCTCCATTTCTTTCACTTGCTCTGCTGTCAATCGCGCTGCAAAGCCTTTCATAACATTGCGATATGAATATACTAAACGCGACGCCTCCTCATTCGAGCTAGCACTTGTGGTTGCTATTGTATTTGGTAAAAAGGATTGATACCAACTCTCTAAATCCCCTGACAAAGATTGTGTTGAAATTTGACTTTCTGGGGATTCAACGTGTACTATATACGTTTTTAATTCGCTCTGTATACTAGCCCATGACAAACAACCAAGTATAGTAAAAACAAGAAAAAAATTGAAGATTTTCATGACTAAAAATGTGGTAAGAAATTTGTATTTTCTTGAGCTAAAACATTAATACAATTTGTAAAATGATGTTTATTATTTTGCATTCTTCTGGACAAATGGTATATATAGTGCTCTGGCGGCTGATCCTGTTCATGATCAAAACAAGTTGAGTGGAAGCTTTTGTATTATTTAATTAGTAGAGCCCATGTTTAATATAGTACTAATTCTTGATTTTTTTAAAATTATTTTATTGAAAGAGGAAAACAATTATTATGAGAAGAAAAAAAAAAAGAACTAAAGTTAAAAGGAAGAATGGATAATGATGTGAATGAATGCCACCACTGTTCTAGTGGTAAGAGCGCAATACGTGATACGTAAATTCGCGGTCTTTAGTAAGGCAAAAGTACACAATGACTTGAATTCCAGAGATACATCTTAACTAAATTAAGGTTATATTATCCCAATTTTATTTTATTTTTATAATTTTATACACCTTTTTGGGTTACATGGCATCTAAACATCTCCCACGTATGTGGAGTCACAGAGTGTGTCACGCAAGCCAAAAGGTGTATAAAATTATAAACAAAATGAATTTAGATGTAATAGGATCTTAGTTTAGTTAAAGTGTATCTCTAAAATTTTGATTATAATCCAGACTCCAAAGGTATCTGTGCCTTTTTTTCTTTATTTTTAGATAAAGCTATTCCTTTGTCAGAAAAAGAAGAAGATAAAAGTAATAGTTGCACTAATATATTAAGGACCCATCCAATTAGCAGCCATTATTTTCCCAATTGTGTTCATATTATATATTATAACAATCTAAAGTTGACAACTTTGACTTCTTTGTAGCGAGAAGTCCGGATACTGATTCGATCGAATCTACTATTTTTTAGTTAAATAATGTATTTATATCACAAAATAAATTAAGAGGGTATAAATATTAGATTTAGATATTTATTATTGGCTCTTGAAGGTGTCATTCTAAATTTTAGAATCATAAAATTAAAATTTTGATTTCGCCTTTGTTTGTATACTTGATATTTCTGGT